ACTTTTCAATAAGTTATAGCATTATAATGTTAAAAATGTAAAAAATAAAATTGAGAATTTTCACACAATAATAGCATTTGGTAGCCATTTTCCATGAAGATAAGATAAAGTCCGAAATTTTTTTTTTTCATGATAAAGCATATTACATTAGCTTTAATTTAAGATATATATATAAAAGTGTCAGACCTTCCGGAACACTTTCAAAAGTTACGTTGAAAAAGTTCTACTTTCTATATGCATTTTTATGTTTTGAATCCCCCCTGTATTTAGGGAAATGGTCCGATTTAAAAAAACAGTATGTCGAATGAAAGATCTATATAAATACTACTTCTCATAAAAAAATTGTAATGATTCATACATTTTTCAAAAAGTTATAGCATAATAAAGTTAAAAATGGAAAATACAAAATCGAAAATTTTCACACAAAAATAGCATTCGGTAGCCATTTTCACCATGAAGATAAGATAAAGTCCGAAATTTTTTTTTTCCATAATAAAGTATATTACATTAGCTTTAATTTAAGATATATATAAAAGTGTCAGACTTTCCGGAACACTTTCAAAAGTTAAGTTGAAAAAATTAATTTTTTGTGAAAAAGTTGTCATTTTAATTCCCTCCCTGTGGGCTGGTAAAGGATCAGATTTATAAAAAAAAATATACCAAATGATAGGTAAAGACATTATGTATCTATAAAAAAAAAATGTATATTGATCCATACATCTTTCGAGAAGTTATAGCATTATAAAGTTAAAAATATAAAAAAGAATTTTTTTACAAAAATCGTATTTTTTTTATTAAGTTTAATGTCTGTTTTCACCATGAAGATAAAATAAAGTCCGAAATTTTTTTTTACCATTATAAAGTATATTACATTAGCTTTAATTTAAGATATATATAAAAGTGTCAGACCTTCCGGAACACTTTCAAAAGTTACGTTGAAAAAGTTCTACTTTCTATATGCATTTTTATGTTTTGAATCCCCCCTGTATTTAGGGAAATGGTCCGATTTAAAAAAACAGTATGTCGAATGAAAGATCTATATAAATACTACTTCTCATAAAAAAATTGTAATGATTCATACATTTTTCAAAAAGTTATAGCATAATAAAGTTAAAAATGGAAAATACAAAATCGAAAATTTTCACACAAAAATAGCATTCGGTAGCCATTTTCACCATGAAGATAAGATAAAGTCCGAAATTTTTTTTTTTCATGATAAAGCATATTACATTAGCTTTAATTTAAGATATATATAAAAGTGTCAGACCTTCCGGAACATTTTCAAAATTTAAGTTAAAAAAATTAATTTTTTGTGAAAAAGTTGTCATTTTAAATCCCCCCTTGTGGGCAGGTTAAGGGTTAAATTTATGAAAAAAATATACCAAATGAAAGGTAATGATATTATGCATCTATATAAAAAAGAATTATATTGATATGTTTATTTTTGAAAAAGTTATGGCACTTTTAAGTAAAAAAAATTGAAAAAATTTCGAAAATTAGCGATTTTTAAATTTGTAATTTTTTTGGAGGTTTCCCCCTTTTACGGGGAACGAGGGAATTTTTTTCAATTTTTAAGGGTAATGTCTTCGACTAGATACGATTTGTGATCTTTTGACGTATCATTGAAAGAAATCGGTTCGGTGAGAGCTGAGAAAAAGTGGTAACAGACACAAAAAAAAAAAAAACACATCTTAGTAAAATCAATACCTTCTCAGCTTCGCATCGAAGCTAAAATAAACATACAGAAATAATTTTCAGTGTAATTAACATATTGCACACTGAAATTATTTTTAACTCAATTATTATAAAAAAATTTTTTGTAATTATAAAAGGAATTTAGTTTTATAAATAATGGAAAATAACTCTAATGTTGAAGAAGCAGGTACACTTGAAATAGAAGGTGCAACTGAAGAACAAAGAAAAATCGTAGAATTTATAAATAGGCTAAAAAAAGCGGAATTAGAAACAGAGTTAGAGAAAAGAAATCTTACATCAACGGGTAAGGTATCTGAATTAAGGACTAAGTTACTTATGTATGTATTGACGAATGATAGAGAAAAAGAACTAAATTTTAACCAAATACTTAACACACAAACACCAATAGTAAATAAAATAACAATGGACAACAAAAAAACACCGTATTTTAACCCTAACACATTTTCGGGCGATACAAATGAGCGAGTAGACACTTTTCTAAAAACCTTCAATAGAGCGGCGTCGATTAACAATTGGTCAGAACAGGACAAACCCAAATACCTTGTAGCCTTCTTACAAGGATCCGCTTTGACATTTTATGACAATATAGAATCAAAAAATTTACCCTGGTGTGAGCTAGAAAAAAGATTAAGAGAAGAATTCGAACCTATCGCGCAAGGCGACATGTTACGTATTTTATTAGAAAGGAGGAAACAAATGGAAGACGTGCAAACAGATGTATTCATAAATGAAACAGTTGCTTTATGTAAAAGGATTGATAATAATATGAGCGAAGAGTAGATTGTAAGAAACGTTATGAAAGGATTAAAACCCAACATTGCTAGATACTTAGGTATTCGTGAAAATCGCAATTTGGATGAGCTAAAAAAGAACATTCAAAAATATGAAATGATAGAATTTATGATCACAGGTGACACATTGAAGAGTCCGTATGAAATTAAGCAATCTATTATAAGTGAAAAAATCAACAAAATAACAAAAATTAACGATAATGACCAATTACAACATATTAACAACGAAATAACAGTATTAAAACAAAATCTGCAAAACATTAATGAACACATTAATCTCACAAATAACAAATATCACAATAATAACTCAAAAAACAACAATTTTTATAAAGACCAAAACTCGCGCCAACCTGCTCGTAATCGTCAAAATAATCCTTCATTTACAAGTAGACAATTTCATAATAATTACACACCACAAAGAAAATACAACACACCATTTAATCAGCAGGACACTTCGTATTTTAATTCAAACAGTAATTTTAGGAGTAATGCTTACACTTACCCTCACAATAAAAATTACAATTACACTCCTAACACTCATTATAACACACCAGCATACAAACAATATCCAAATTTCATAAACTCTAATAATAATTTTGATAATTTTAATACACAAAATTTCGATCATCTTAATACATAAAATTTCAATTCAAAAAATAATACTTATAAACCTAAGGGTAACAACTACCAATATCAGTCAACAAATAACATAAAATGCAAAATATGCAAAAAAACTAATCATAACTCCGATGAATGCTTTTATAGGAATGACAAAGTTATTTGCCAATTGTGTGAATCTGTGGGTCACACTGCTCTTTTTTGTCAAAAAAACCAAAAAAACTTGAATCAAGGTTAAACGAGCATGCTGAAATTAACAGTTCACCTTTTCATTCAGCAAATAATTGCATTAATAATTTAACAAAAACTCCTATTCCTATTGCTTCACATTTTTACGCTTCTTTTGTAAATAAAACATTTCCAATAACTATTGATACAGGATCAAATATATCATGTATCACACACAATTTATTACCACCAGACACAATCATGAACACTTGCACTTTACAAATAAAGGGACCTGATAATACACCAGTAAAGGTTCTTGGTACAACAAACATTGTTTTATCAATAATGTCAATAAACTATAACATTTTAGTGCATGTAATCGAAAATTTATCTTGTCCAATACTTCTCGGAAACGATTTCTTAGAAAAAAATAATAGCTTAATTGATTTTGATAATCAGCTTCTTATATTAAACAATACAAATGTAGTAAAAACACAATTCATACACCATCAAAATGTTAATCAAATAAACGTCAACTTCATCGAAAAAACTATCGATCTACTTGATGCCCCTGAAAATTACTCAATCGCTCATTGCATTTCAGCTGACCTAAAAATGAACAATGGCTTAGCATTGGACATCTGTAAAAAATATGGTAGACTAACCTCATCATTGTCACAATTAAACCCACAAGTAGGAGACGCCATTCCACTTGTTTCAAACAACAGAGTCATTTACTTTTTAATAACAAAAATAAACTACTTCGATAAACCAAATTATTATGACATAAGAAGAACCCTGAACAATTTAAAACTAGAACTGCTAAATCGTCACGACACTGAAATCGCAATGCCCAAGATAGCATCAGGCTTGGATAAAAAAAACTGGAACATAGTCAGACAAATAATTTATTCAACCTTTATCAACACAAACATCAACATACTAATATGCCATAAAAAAAACAACTAAAATCAAACAGAACAACAAATTAACAAACACAAAACACCACCTGAAGATGACCAAAATTTAAACAATCAACAACAACAAAACATTACACTATCTACAGAAAATGCCAACAACATCAACAAAAATTTTTTCAATATTTTCGAAAATTTCAAAAAAGGTGAAAATCCACCTAAATCCTGTGGTTTAATAGCACTCTGCAATGCTTTAAATTCCAACAAAAATGAAAGAACAACTTCAATCGCAAAACTTTTGGAACTTTTAGATTTACACGAATTACCTAATTACTTGTTTAGTGATCAAGAACTTGCTGCTATTGCAAACTTTGACACCTACATTTACAATGACAAAGACAAAACTGGAATAATTTATGGTACAGGAAATCGACCTCCAGTAGTATTATACAATGTGGACAACAATACACACTGGATACCAGGTACGCTATCCGACAAGAAATCAAAATTCATTCCCATAAATTTTGTTCATTTCACACACACTGATCCAATTCTCAAGATACGTGAAAATTTAATCAATCTTTTTCACAAAAAAAAATGAGCCAACCAAAGAAAACAATTCAGACTGACACTGACACATGTTCCTAACCATGTCGTTTAGATTAGGCATGGGGTACGCGTCCGAAACGGTTACTTCGTTTAGTCGTCGGTAATCTATACATAAACGAAAAGTCCCGTCCTTCTTCTTGGCCAGCACTATCGGTGCTGACCACGGCGATACACTCGGTTCTATTAGCCCCTGCGCCTCCATGTCGTT